TTTATATACTTTATATATATTTTTATTTATGTATATACACTTCAGATATGTGTGTATGTATATATTTTCCATCAGCTTTGCTTCCCATCTACGCTTGGAAAATTGTCATTTTCCTGAGGCTTTCCAGGAGCAAATCTTCGAAATTCTTTGTTGTGGAATAAGCTCTTTCTTTCTCAATTTTCTTTATTTATTTTTTTTTTAATTTGTGCTTTTCCCTTTGACGGCCGGTCGTGGGAAGCGGCGATGGCAGGAAGGACAGCGGTTGGGTTTCTCGAGGACTTTTGAGTAGATGAAAACTTCATTAATTCAAGTGCGAGCAATCGCGCGGCGGGCGGGGGAAGTAATCCACCACCTCCTCCCAGTCCAAACTAACCTTTTCCTACAAAAAAAATTTTTTTTTAATTTGTGCTTTTCCCTTTGACGGCCGGTCGTGGGAAGCGGCGATGGCAGGAAGGACAGCGGTTGGGTTTCTCGAGGACTTTTGAGTAGATGAAAACTTCATTAATTCAAGTGCGAGCAATCGCGCGGCGGGCGGGGGAAGTAATCCACCACCTCCTCCCAGTCCAAACTAACCTTTTCCTACAAAAAAAAAATCATATTTTCTTCAAAATGACGCTCTGGGGATGAAATTTGTTGCTCAGCAGAGAGCCTGCGTGTCCGTCTTTGGATTCTGGCCCAAACCCTCAAGGAAATGATCGTGCTTTGGGTGCAAAGGTGGATTTCACCCGCAATGCTTGAACGGAGGGGATGAAATATCTGTTATTCTACACGGGCGAAGAACGTTACGTCAAGTAGTAAACCCTAATCCTAGGAGGACAAGTTGAGCTACTCCTTTCCCTGATTTAAAAATACTCCGTAACCTTGACGTGGAGGGGAAATCCCGCGTCGAGGAGTTTTTGAGCCGAGCTGTGGCTCTGCCGACATTCCTCGTGACCCGAGGAGGAGGCGACTGGTTGTATTTACAGACTGTTGGATTTTAAAAATGGAATTAAGAAGCTTTGAGAACGTTTTTGGGCGACTCGATACCTGTTGGCAGCCTGTCAAAGTTTCTTTTTTGGAGGAGGTTAACGGCGATCGCTTGGAAGAGCCGAACCGCAGGCGACGCCTTCGATCTGCACATCCCAAAGAGCATATCCAGCTCGCAAAAAATAAAACCAACTGGGAAATCATCAAATCATTTGGGTTGGAAAAGATCTCCGAGATCCGCACTGGGAAGAGGCGGCTTCTTCTTCCAGCTGGAGAGGGAAGGGACGGACGGATGCGGAGGTGGAAACATCGTGGAATATTTTTACTTGGTTTAGTTTTGCTCACGTTTTCTAGAGGAGATGGAGCTTGTGGCCTCTGAGTACGGTTAATTTGGAGTATCCTGATCTTTTTCCAAAGGGGAAGCAAGGAAGAAAAACGCCAAGAATGCCTTCCTGACCCACCATCGACGCGTGACGTAAAAGGGACATTTATTAGCGTCCCTTTTCTGGGGTCTCCGGCCAGGCAGAGGAGCTGGACTGACATTTTTCTCCCCTATTCCGAGGGCCGAGGCTGCTTTATTTCATCTTCACGTTGTTTTTAATTTGGTGCCGTCCACAAACCGATATTTTAACGGGGGCAAAACCTCTCTCCGAGCTTTTAACTTCTCGACTGGAAGTCCTGGTAGCTCACAGATCCTCCAGCACAGGAGGCAGCGTCTCCTTTTCCTCTCTATTTTCCTTTTGAGTTAAGACAAGGTGAAACAAGTGCTGGTGTTCTCTGCCCTCTCCCCGCTGATTTTCGGCGTTTTCAGCCTCTGCTCAGCTCCTGGATGCGTTTGAACCCGTGGACAACATGGGAGGTTTAAAGGCTGCTCCGATTTATTCTTAGGATCTGTCATAAGTGGGGTTTTTTGCGTGGAACAGTTTGATTTTGTTTTCTTTCTTCCAAGTTGATCTGGGGGGAGATGTGTTGAGATCCCATTCTCTTTCCACCTGCCCGGCCGAGAGTTTGGAGTGAGCTGTGGGAAGAAATAGAGAATAATTTTAATCTTAATATTTGTTTGGAAGATGAATTAATTGCATTTTCGAGGTTTTATGCCTCGTTTCCGATGAGCCGTGTGTTGTAACACCATTCTTTGAGAGAGATATATTTATATAGAGAGATAGATAGAGATAGATAATAAAAAAAAAAATCCAATTCTATCATTTTTAGATCTGGAGGAACTTCCTGAGCTTTGATTTAGCGTGCGCAGACGCGCAGCCTGGCACGTGCTCACTCGGCGCGACTTTATTTTAAATTTGCGGGTTAGCAGCGAACAGCACAAGGTTTCTATTGCATTATTATTTTTTTTAAAATAGGATTTGAATCTGCGGCCGCCCTTAAAGTACGTGCGATTGCGAGTCTTCCCGTCGCGGAGGCTGACGGGGTTGGGCGCTCGCTTCTCGTTCTTGGGTCAGGAGAAGACACGGCCTTTAGTCAAAGAAGACGCTTTGCATCAGGAAACGCTGACGTTTCCCCTCGTGAAAATCCTTCCTTTTCAGCGCCGGCTCAGCTGTCGCCTCGCAAAAAAGCCGTTTGGGAACACGGGAGGTGGCCCCCGCTGGCAGCTCGCTAAGCTGGACGGTTTTACGTCGATTGGTCCCTGCTCACAGGCTCGTTACGGCCAATCTCTGACATTTTTCGCTCAGAAATGCAGCCCCTCGAAGCCCTTAACGGGGAAAAAACCTGAATTTGTTGGAAGGACTTGGGTGCTGCTCGCTGGGAGGAGAATTCTCTTCAACCCCGAATCTCATGCGTGTGGCCTTTTCTGGAGCTCTTTTCTAGAGCTCTTCCCTTTTGGGGCGTTTTCTCTGCGTTGTGGTACCATATCTCAGGGCTTTGGGTGTTTTGATGCGGCTGGGTTGACACAAAATAAAGAAAAGGAATGTTTAGACAAGTGTTTGCATCCTGTCGGGGAAATAAGCGTAACCTTCCACGTAGTTATTTTAAATTATCGTTGTGTGAAGATGGAATTTTAAAGCTTTTATAGCCCTGCAAGGCTGATTCTGGCAAAACCACCAAAAAAAATAAATCTGTGAAACGTGGTAAGTTTTTTCGGGGAAAAGTCTGCGGTTTGTTCAAGCCTTTTTTTTGTTACCAAAATATAATTAGAACGCGACGTGTGCTTTTATTTTCTTTCCACCCACGAGCTTGGCTTGAAAAATATTGGGAGAAAAAAGCCGGAGAGAGCAAACGTGGCAGTGCTTGACATTTATCGATACATCAAATATTTATAGAATGTGTATTTATAGTGCTTAACTTTTTTTTTTTTATATATAAAAACGAGAGGAGAGGAGCAACAGCTGTGGTGGAGGGAATGTGAGCGATGTCGGGGTCCCCGAGCGCGCAGAATAATTGGCAGGAATCTGTGAATGACGAGTGTAGAAATTAATTACGGGCTTCTGGTGCCATCGTAATAAACCCCGCTAACGAAGCTCCAGTAGAACCAGAGAAACTGGTTTCGAAACTACGCGGCTGCTCGTGGTTTGACGTGAGATGGAATAAATTACGGCAGGACCCAGGGTTAAAAATAGAAAAAAGAATTAAAAAAAAATCTTTCTAGCTCGGCCGCTAAATCGTCAAATAACTTTGTTTTCTCAAAAGCCAGAAGCCCGTCGAGTGCTTGGGATTAATTTGGTTGAAGCGGTGGTGAAGTCTAGAACTCTGCTTTCATTTATTGCCAAAGCTGGAGGGGAAAAAAAATTAAAATCTAAAATAATGCCCTTTTATAGTGAAGATGATGAAATTCAAACCCTGAAGGACGCGATTTAATCCGTGTCTTGGCCGGACGGGGGTTTGATCACTCGCCCCCTGCATTCATACGTCTCAAGTTTTCCTCATTTTCTTCTTTTGGGGGGGAAATTAATCGTTGGGAAAAAAGTCGGAAAAGCGTGACGTGAAAACTGAAACCCTGGAGAGCCTGGAATCCTCCCGAGCCTGAGTCAGATTTCTTGGTCTCTGTGCAATTTATTTTATCACCTTCACCTTCTTTGAATTTAGAAAGGCTTTTGTAACGTTACGGCTCACGCAGCGAGCACGATAGGCGTATTTTGTTACACAGAAATCGTCGAAATTGAGGGTTTCATTCTTTTGGCAAAGGAAAAAAATGAACCTCAGCGTACTTTCCGGGACAAACGCTTTCCTTAATATTTAATTTTTAAGAGATTGAAAAGGCTAATTTGATTTCCAGATATGTTTCCTATTTATGTTTAATATTTTTGGGGCTTCTTGAATTGATTTACGTGCTGAGCCCCGGGTTTCAATGCTGCTTTTGGTTTGTTTTTTGTTTCCCTGGCCTTCTTGCAGTTCCGCCCTGGTTTTTAATCCGCCCCTCAAACCTTTACGCCTACGAGAGCATGGACATCGAGTTCGAATGTGCCGTCTCCGGGAAGCCCCTTCCTACGGTGGCGTGGATCAAGAACGGAGAAGTCGTCATTCCCAGCGATTATTTTCAGATCGTGGTAACTATTTCTTATTAGATTTCCTCGTTTTTCTTTCTTTTTTTTTGACTCTGGGCAGCCAGAGGCGCCGCCAAAGACCGCGAGGGGTCGAGAGATTCCTGCTTAAAGCGCTCGTGCTTCCAGCCCGAGGGTTACGTGAGCCGGAGCTGAGATTACACATTATTCACATTTCACATAAGAGCTTTTCTAAGCCGCGTTTGCTTTTGGAGTCGTTTTTTTTCTAATTAATTCTCTCCTTTCTCTCTCCAGGGTGGCAGCAACTTACGGATTCTGGGCTTGGTAAAGTCAGATGAAGGTTTTTATCAGTGCGTAGCCGAAAACGAAGCTGGCAACGCCCAGGCCAGCGCACAGCTAATCATCCCGGAGCCCGGTAAGCTGCGAAGGACACGGAATTGTCGATGTAATTAATACTATTACCATAAAAAATCCCAAATGAGCAGCTACTCTTCTTTCCTCCTTACTTATCCAGCTGGCTGGCGGCAGTTAAAAGCATGCCCAGGCTAGTTGGAAGCATTTTGGTCATCAGGGCATTAAAAATGTTGGCCTTGTCCTAGAAATGACTGTGGAGGTCAACTAAACCCGCCTGAAAAGCCGACGTCTTCTTAGTCTGGTTCTGCTGACGGCGAAATAGGAGAGGGGGGAGAATCAAGTCTGTGAGGAGCAGCTGATCGGATTAAACGTCCTGTTCCAGAAC